TAGACTGTGAAGAGAATGCTGCCGCTTAATTTATCTTTTAGTGACGAGACATCGTCTAGAAAATTCTCCCCAACTTGATTGACTTGATAAGCCATACTTTTTTTTTTAAATAAATAATATAGACACCACCAACGTAATTATTACCCAGCTGACAATATCACAAGATGCACATTTAGCCTGTGAAATGAAATTAGTTAATGGATTTTTGAGTCCAATTAAATATTTTGTGTTCCAGTAACTGGAGATTTATTGATCTAATGTATGGATAATGTGGAATTAACCAGTGTTGCTTGATTGACTGGACCAGGACAGTTTTATGCGTTTAGACCAAAGCATTATTATTCAAATATATTTTAAATATTAGGTTCAATGATTTAATTAAAGTCAGTGTCAATGGAAAACATCTTACTTCAACAAAACTCTTTTGTTTTTCTGAACAATATGTTGAATATATAAAGTTAAAGATTAAACTAAGATACAGTTTTACTCAGAATAAAATGTAAATTCTATTGGGTACCATATCGTGTCAAGGTCAGGGCTCTTGTGGTTTGAAAAAACAACAATGTATTTGAAATAAATAGGTCTGGGACCTATAAAGTCAACAGGGTTGACAGAAGTTGGTAAAGACGTCATTGTTGGAGTCTGCATTTTTTTATTTATTTATTTATTTTCTTATTCTTTTCCTACTTGCTCTGATTCTGTTTTATTTTCCTATAGTATTTTAATCATGTAAACCACTTTGCATTGTCTTTGTACTGAATTGCAGTGTTGGGCAAGCTACTTGTCCAGTGTAGTGAGCTAAGCTATCAGTTACTCAACAATAAATTAAGCTTCACTACACCAAAGCTACCACCTAAAGAATTATAGCAAGCTAAGTTACACTAATGTAGCTTAACTACATCAGAAGCTACTTAACGTTGTACCAAGCTAATGTCAATTCAAAATGAGTCTGACACACTGGTTAAAACATTTATTAAAGATCAGCCAATGACATAACACAGTGTAAACATTGCTTTATGATCAGCATATTAAAATAAACTAAAGTATTTACTAATAGACAAAAAAATAAACAACCTGCTGTTATTAGAACCAAATGAAAGGTACTGTGTAGCGTTCTACACATGGAGACATGGCGATGAGTTTGCATTCAATGGACGTCTCTAGGGAAAACAAAACCCTACAAAAGGCATCTTATTTCTTTAGGGTCTCCCTTAGAGAAAACTTCTTCAGACCTCAATTAAACAGTCGATTCAAGTAACAAATGAAACTGTTTACAAAAAAGGTGAAAAAATAAAGAAGCTAATTAAGAGATATATATACATTTATGCCTCACTGTATAATTTAATTTCTACCTACATATTTATTCATTGTATTTTGGGGGGTAATTAATTTAATACTTTTTTATTTATTGAGCATGTATTTATTTATGTATTTATTTTTATATATGGTAGAGCTGTTCCTCCATACCTAAAAAAATGTTATCTCTGCAAATAAGCCTTAAAACAGATATATGTAAACATCCTGTCTGGTAAAATAGGCAATGAAAATACAATATCTAAGTTTGGCTACTGCTCTCTAATGACAGTATCTTAGTGGCACTCATCAGATTGAACTATCTGGAAATTAAAGGTGCCAATAAAGTTAAAGCTGATATATTTTTCTCATTTTTATTTCAAAATATTGACTGCAGTTGACTGTTTTAATGAGTGTTTGGCTATGTAAAACAAATGGCTAGTCTTGGCCACATGAGCTCTCTATGGCCAAGAACCGAAATTTGAACACATACTTTTTATCAGAGGATTCAACAAGTTTCAAAATCTCTGAAGATAAGGCGCTCTGCTCCTGTCTCCATCCTGTGTGCGTGGCTCTGTGGGTGTCTGTGTGTGTCATTCATTGAGTTCCACTACAGTGCGCATGCGCATGTTTCGTAGATACAGACAGGAGAGGCAGAATAGAGGCTCATGCGTGAATGTCCAGCAAATAACTCCGATTGTTGTTTCAAAAATAGAAAATTATGCTCTGGCTTTTATAGCGTTTGTGGACGCTACGTCGCTACTTTATATAAATAATAACGTCACTACTGGAAAGTTACTTGATAAATAAAGCAGCGACGCTAGATACTACAGATGCTTGATGCAAACCGAGACCGCTCTGTTTCACAGCAACAGCAGAACATATTTATGAAACAAATAACATGTTCATATAATCAATATCAATCAATTGATGGATATCTGTCATGATAAATAATAGATCAAATGTTTTTTAGGATCCAGAAAATGAACACTATATCAGTTTCTGAGATTCTCTTAGTTTCAAAACAATAAAAAATTCAGATAAAGGTTTTTCTAAATAAATAACTTAAGACCGTAACCTTATGAACTTCAATGAAATGTTTTTTTTTTCCATCTTTTAGCTAAAAATCAAAGAAAATTCTCTTTGTTCTCTTGTTTGATAAACATCAATTTATACGAACGTTTTAATTGATGAAACAAAGTGTGAATATTTTGTCTCTGTCAATTTTTCTTTATAACAAGCATATTACGTATATTTTCTTTAAAGAGGAGAGAGAGGAATATTTTACATTTATCTTCCCCTCCTTGAAGGAGCTAAAAGCTCCGCCTCCTATAGAGCCACCAGTATGGCTGATTTTTACACTTTACCTAATTTTTGTTAATCACTTCAGCTCTACCACTTCGGATGATTTTAGGGAAAATGACTGATTTAGCTTCCAGGTTATATGACATATCCAATCCAGATCAATACTCAATGCTGTTACATATTTAAAAGCAGTTAAACTGTACTGCTAAAAGCACTATATGGATTTTATATATTTTACTAAATAAATAAAAATTACATTCTCATGGTTTATATTATTCCACTGACTTGATGGTCCTTAAGCGAACCACTGCTTTCAATAGGGTGGAGTTCAGCAAACCACTACAGAGTGAATAAAGAGCACATGGGAGGTGGTTTAATGGGTGATTTCAGGAGTAGCGTAGCAAGGCATGCTTGTAGAGAGCTCTGGCCGGCTTTCAAGCAGATTATATCTTTAGCAGCCTGTAGTCCTTCGTCTACCGGCTGGTTTTATGTTAGCTTCCATTTTGGTGAGAAGAGTTTTCTAATTTTCTATCTATTAAAACCAAAGTTCTTTTAGTGTCTCTGTATTTCAGTCATGATATTGGTGGATTAGTTACAGAGTTTTTCTTTAGCAAAGACAATTTGATAAATAGTTTTATAAAATATTTTATTAGTCTGTGTAGGATTCTATATAGGTCTATAACTAGCTAGAACAGAAATGTCTCCAGAAATGGAAATAGACTCCTATGAAATTATAGCAAATTCTAAGGCAACACAAACATAAAGATTGAGACTTTCAGTTGTTGGATGATAATAAAAAGCATACTTTTGGATAATATGTGACATTTCTGCCATTAAGTTTCTGTAATTATTACAAGCTGAAGCTTTAAATACATTTCTCTGCTTTTTGACCTCCATCAAGCTTATAACAACTTCATCCTCTGCAGTGTAATGAAACCTATAAGTAACTTTATTTTTCAATAAAATCCTCCTGAAGAACAGTAACGGATCAATCCCTGCAGCTGTCAGTTTATTCGTTATTTGTTGACTCTGTTTGTTCTGGCTCTGCTCTATAAGATCCCAGAATGGACATAATAGACCAGAAAGGATCCAGTAAACCCAGCAGTTATCAGAGTAAATTAATGTATTTGTTACTATTTGCATCATTCATCCCACATAATAGGAAATATATATAAATGGATACCAGGAGCTGGAAGCATCATGCAGTTAAAGTAGGAAATCCATTTATTTACTTTGAAATAATTTAATCTATAGAGCTAAAACTCTGTTTGTGTGGAGAAACGCGAAGAAAACATTTCATAAGGATTTGGTGTTTGTAGATTTAAGAAGATGAAGCTGTTTGCTGTGTTTTTCTTCCTCTTCTGTGGTAAGATCATCTTCCTCTCCCCAAGCTTAGTTTCAATCAGCTGATGTTGCTTTTTCTTTTAATTCGGTAACATGACAATTATCTCTACAGCTGAGTATCTTTTAGGTTGCTGCATTTTACATTCATCTTTAGTGAAGCTTCACAGCCAATGGAAGTGAAACTCAGGCCTCTGGATTCTGTGACAAATAATGGCATTGTTAGTTTACCTGAGATTTAGAAAAACTACTTTCCAATTAGATAAAAGTATTTATTTAAAGTGAAGAAGAAAACCTCTGCCCAAAACTTCTAATCTGTACTTGATAATTTTTTCTCACTGAAACAATAGTTCTTCTTTTGGCTGTTTTTCTGCTTCCCTCATTATCAGCTTTCTCACTGGTTTTAGTCTTTAGAAAACCTTTTTATCAGTAAGGTGCAAATATTATTAATATCCTTATTTCTCAACTACTTGTTCTTAATGTGTTTAAAGGTATAAAACATCAAGGTCAACATCAGACAGCAGTGATTTCTAGGAATCTTTGTTATTAAATGTCCACAAAAAACTATAATTGCAAGATCTGCATCCATTATTCTATAGAGGAAGAACTTTACATTTGGATATTGAGTTTTATTACATTTTAATCCGTTTATATAAAGTACCAGTTAACTATAGGGTGTGACCTTGTTCTTTGTAACATGAAACCATAGTGAGAGCAGCTGCTGATTGGCTGCTGCCTCTTACTGGGTTTGTTTTAATCTTGATATTAATCAACATTACTGCAACACCTCCAGTATGCAGAGGGGGAAATTAGATCTGCTGGAGTTAATTAACAGTATTATTTAACAGTTAAGTAAAGTTAAAGGCTACTTATATTTTACAGAAATCCTAAACATAACCCTTTATCTGGATTCAGTCACTTTGTTTTCATTTCAATGCTAAAAACTAAATAGAAATGTAGAGAAATGTACAGTAAACCAGATAGATTAGATGACTACTAGGTGTTGAAAAGATGAAAAGTCTTTAAAAGAAATCATTCTAACAAACTGAACATTATTTATTTGTCCTTTCAGCTTCTAAAGATTCTTTGACTGTAAAAGTCGAAGTTCAGGAAGGAGCTCCATCTGTTCTGCTTCCCTGTCACTACAGCAAAGTATTAGAAGAGATTGCTACAGTGAAATGGAGCCGCTTTGATCTCAATCCCAGTTCTGTCCATAAACGGAGAGAAGGAGACGACCTACAGGAACAAAATCAGCAGTTCAGAGGACGAACATCAATGAGACCTGATGCTCTAGACTCTCAGGACTTCAGCCTGACTCTGAAAGAACCTCAACCTTCTGACAGCGGCGTCTACATCTGCAGCATGATTGATAAGACAGAAGAACTGCTGTCAGATGTTCAGCTTTATGTCAGAGGTCAGTTACCTTGGGGTAGATCTTTTTCTGGATTTAACTATCAATATAGTATAGAAAAAAATAAAATAGAATGGAAAATCCCAGTATTGTCCCACAATGGGCAATTGTTGTGTTTACAGCAGCAAAGGTTACAGTAGAAGTGGTCACACAATGTGCCCCTTGTTTTACAATATAATACTCTGTATTTGGAGAATAAAACATTCAATAAACAGGACATTTTTACAAAAAAAAAATGAAATAACAGCAGCATGTTATTTAATGGACCAAGACAAACTGCAGAAAATCAGCAAATGCTGGTGAGGATTCTGTCATCCAGCTCATAGTTATTCCTAAAAAGTTAAAAAAAACAATCCACTGGACTTTGTTTCCAAGATTGAATACGCTTCGATTCCCATTCAGGAAGATTTTTCAATTCAAAACATCAAAAATAGGGTTGAGTTCAAGGCTTTATAGAGTGGACCAAAAGCAGTCTTGTTTTGGTTTAGAAAAAAAGCACCAGACAAACCAGTTCACCCCTTGAGAAAGGGGGACATTTGGTTTTACAGGCTAACAAAGAAACCATAGAAACCAAAGACTGGTAATCCGTGATAGCGGGCATTTGCCCGGTGGGCGGGTCCTAATTTCAGCTTGGGAGGGCCGGCCCTCCTTAGATCATAGCGGCCCCAACACTTCCTCTCCGGCTGAAGCTCCTATCTGTGACAGTAAATAACTCAAGGAGCTCAACAAGTAATCCCATGTTAACTCCCTGAATGATCCATGCAGTATCTATAGAGCTCCCTTCATGCTCATCCTTGTGATGGTTTGCATATGGTGTAATTTTCTATTTCTTCAAACTGTAAAATCCTTTCAACAAACTAAATTATAATAAAACCAAAATGCTGTCTTTAAACCAAACTACAATGTTCCTCTTATATTTGGCAAATTTATGTTTGAATATTAATACATAATATGTTGCGGTGCATCTGGCGGTGCAATCTGGCAGTTCAGGATGGCTGTCTATGGGTAAAAAATGTTTTTCTTTAGATTTTTGGCCTAAGAGATCAATATACTTTGGTTCAAATTGGGTGAGATTTCGTATATCCAGGCGGTTTAAGAACATTCTTTGGGCTGGAAAACGTGAATCAGTGACATCTGGTAGCTAATAATGATGATGATGATTATTATTATAAATTTAATAATATTTATAGAACACTCTACATATTTGGGCTATCTCTAAGTGCTACGAACAAAAGGAGAAATAATAACATTTTGAAAATAACACATTTAAATTGTCAAAATTAAATACAAAAAAAGGTCTCCCGCACACAGACTCCATGTGGAAATGTAAAAATGTTTGCTTCATGCTTTGTTGAATTTAAGGAAGAAAGAAAATCCCTGCAGTGATGAGAAATAGATTTTTGTAAATTATCTTTTCATTAATTATTATTATTTCACTTTTGTTATTTCCTACAGTTTCCTTGCACAGAGTTTCTCTCCATCCTCTGTCTTTGTTTCAACGTCTCCCTTTTAGAAACAATGACTGCAGATATTTTTATTCTCTGTTTGCTCCTGACTTTATAGAAACGCTGAAAAACAACGCAAACCTGTGTCTGCAGTTAAGTTTCAGATCTGGAAAATCTCTTCACACTTAGTAAATGTTTAAATCTGCAGATCCTCCCCATGAACTAGTTTGGTCATTAGAACCTGATCTGAACATTGCTGAAGGCAAAAACACAAAGAAAGGTTTGAACACGCTGTCTGCTGAATTATAAACCTAAATCACATAGAACCTGCTGTCAGGATCTGCTCTGCATCTACAAACATGTTTTAAGACACGCAGACCTTCAGAAGATCAGAACCTTCATGTTCAAAGCTGATTGGATTCTAGAAACTCTGAGAAATGTTAAGATGATCCTGAGAACTTTTGCATTTTAGACTAAAATCAATCAGGATTCATGTCTGAGATCTAACTGCTCTTTCTGTTTTTCTATAGAAATATTTCCCACCTGGTCCAAAGTTCTGCTGGTTCTCCTGGTTCTGCTGGTTCTTCTTGCTGTTTCCGGCCTTTTGTTTTATTTCCGTCATTATTTCATATCAGGTAAGTTCCTTTTCCAGTCGTATCGATGCTGATGTCTAACCTGCTGAGGTTCTGGAGTTTTCCTTCCAAAGATGCTTCTGATGGTGAACCATGACCCGATACAGGAAGCTGAAGGAAGCTTCAGGGTTGCCATGGTTTCATAGTCCTCCCTGTACTATTATGGTCTGGATTCCCTGTTTCTACGGTCAGGAAGTGAACCACATGAACCTGGATGGATTTAGTGTTTGGATCAGGATCCAAATGACGTCCCAGTTTCTAGTGGAAAGTTCTGGAGTTTTCCATCCAGCCTCCATTCATCCAGCTTGGCTTGAAGATAACTGATAGAAAAGAAAGCAGAGCATCCCTCCTCCCAGCAACACTCTCCACTTTAACCTCAGCTTTTTCAAAGCCAGAGGGATGTAGAGCCTCGCTAAAGTTTTCACACCCCTTTGATTTCTGCTGTTTGATTACTTTATAAATATAAAAACATTTCAATGGGATTTCAGGCAAAACAACATGAAGTAGAGGATTGTTGTCAAGTGGATGAAATTCATAGTAGATTTCTAAATGAAAACAGTAAAATTCTAGAAAGTGTGAATGAATTAGTATTCAGCCTCTTAGAGTCAATATTTTCTAGAAGCATCTTTCTCTGGTTTTAAACCAGTCAGTCTGATGGAGACGTGTCTCTACCAGCTTTGAACATTTCAATCTTTCTGCTCTTCTCTGCCATAAAGCACCAGTTCAGTCCCATTAGATGGACAGAGGCTGGAAACAGCTGCTTTAGATCTAGACTTTGACTAGGCCATTCTAACACATTAACATGCTGGGATCCAACCATCCATTGTATCTCTGGCTTCATGTTTTATGCTGGTTGTTCTGCTGGAAGGTGAAGCTCTGCTCCAGTCTCAGCTCTTTTTCAGCCTCCATCAGGTTTCCTTCCAGGATTGTCCTCCATTTAGCTCCATCCATCTTCCATCATCTGCAACCAGCTTCCCTGATGGACTAAAGTCTTCCTCCTTTCCTCTCCTCCCTTAGTCTCCTGTTCCCTTCCTTCTCCCTCCATCTCATTCATTCAGTCTTTATGGACTTTTAGGACAATATTCCTGCTGTTGGAGCTAAAAATAAAACAACGTAAAATTAGAAATATAAAATATGAAATGAAAACATAAATTATTTTATATTATGAAATCTGAATTTATTCCAAATAAAGTTACTTTTTAATATAGAACTCTAATTAAAATATAAATCTCTGACCTTCTAAAGGCAAACATGAATATTTCTCATAACTTTATTTCCTGTCTACATCACATCATTAAATAGTTTAAACTTTTCTGTCTGCATCATAAATCCTAACTTCTGATTGGTTAACCTTCACAGCCAATCAGCTGCAGACCAATAAGCTTTTCTATAGCAGTTTTATTCCAGCTGAGAAATGAAATTAATTCCTGATGAGCATCAAATCAAATAAAGATGAAATAATGACTAAAAGTAGAAAGTGAGACTTTGATGGTTGAATCTCCCTAAAGGTGAAGCTGAAGCCTTTGAAGGCTGATGAAGAGTGAGTTTAATAAAAGGAGAAGCTCTGTGATATTCCAGCTCCAGAGTTATTCAGAGTTTCTGACGTCCTGCTGAATATTACTGCTGTCTGCTCTCATCACTAAACACTGATCCATCCCAGGTTCCAGGCTGATGACAGGAAGTCATTGAAAACACTTCCTGCTTGGATTGATCAGTCAGCTGCTTTCCACTCCTGTCCACTAGGAGGCAGCAGTCCTGTGGTTTGTCATCTGTTGGTTAAAGAGTCCAAAGCTTGGAGGGATTTCTGTGTGTGAATAATAATGGGCGTTTCTCAATTCACGAGAACGCGAGTACGTACTCGCGTTCTCGTGAAGTCTGTTCTTGGCGAGAACGCAGGAAGATCAGACTTGACGAGAACGCGAGCACGCAAGCACGTATGTGTATTGGAACAGAAGCGTACTCGTGACGTCATCACATGCAACGTTCTTTAGCATTTCTTTAACAGTCAAAACTATTTATTCCCTATGCTGATGAAGGTTCTCAGTCATCCAGGTCATAGTCATTGCGTAAAAATTCAAGCTTGGACTGGACCGCCCAAGCTTCCTGGAGAGGTGGCGAAACGTCTTCAAATCTTGAAAACCAAGTCCAGTGGATATTTTTTGAATTTTTACGCAATATTTATTCCCTACACAAAACATTTTGAAAACAATATTTTTTATTTCTAAAGCTTAAAAAACATTAAAAAAAATTACCGAACCGCAAAAACCGCCATCAGAACGAGTGGTAGTTCACACATAACTAGACCGAGAGAAGTGCACTACAGACGGGGTAAATTTAGCCCTGGCTGCGGTTACCCTCGGAGGTCTGCTGGTCACTCTGGTCCGCTCAACGTCGGACTTTTTTTAAAAAATTTTGCCCTAACTCTGTAAACAGGCCACACAGGGAGGCTTAAATGTATAATGTTATCGCCTCAAACGATTTCAAAACGTACTTTTGAAGAACAACAGCAGCAGAAAAGGGAATGTTTAACTTACCACTGTGAGCGCTGTCTCGAATCAAGCTGCGGCCGCGGGGCATTCTGGGGAAGCGGTCAGTCTGAAGAACGCAAAAGTCTGCTCTGATGCATGCTCGATAAAGAGGGCGGGGCGAGAACAACATCTGGGGATTTGGTGCGTTCTCGATCTGGCGTTCTCGAGAATTGGAACGGTACTCGGGCTGAGGCACGAGTACACGAGCACACGAGCACACGAGCACACGAGAACGCTCAAGAACGCATAATGAGAAACACCCAATGTGGAGGATAGTGAGTCTCTTCTTCTGTGGTTGAAAGGAGCTTTAGATCCATGAATGTTCTGTCAGCGTCCATTCTGCTTATTTCTGCTCACTGAATCCTGAGCTACACATGATGAGCAGCTGCTTCTGATGGAGGATCATCATCATCATCATCATCATCATCATCATCATCATCATCATCATCATCATCTCCTCTGTGTTTGTTCTCAGTCTACAGGGTGGAGGTGGATTCAGGAGAGGAGTCTGTTCTGCTGCCCTTTAAAACTGCAGTCCGTCTGCCTGATGATGTCACAGTAACATGGAGGAACAGTGAGGAGATGGAGATCTACACGAGTTCCAGGAGATCCAGGATCTGGTCTACAGACCAACACTGGTATTATAAAGGCAGAACAGAGATGAAGAAAAAACTAAAATCTGGAGACTTCAGTTTGACCCTGAAGAACCCGACAGTCAGAGACTCAGACATCTACACCTGCACCGTCTGTGATGCCTCAGGAAACCTTCTGACTAGGAAACAAGTTCAGCTTGAGGTCAAAGGTCAGTATAATAGATCTAGGCCACATTTTCTCCATGATAATATCTTCATCAAACCAGTAGAGTTGGTCTTTATTCTGAGTCATTAATCTGAAGGTTAGAAAGAGGAAACATGTTACAGAAATATGATCTTTAGACTAAAGAAAGGATTCAAATAGAAACGTTGTTGATCATAGATGCTCTGAAACTAGATCTATTTGCTGGTTATTCTATGAAATATCTAGTAGCACCAGGATCCATCCTTCCATCCATTCAGGCTGGTTCCTCTAACTATTGGCTCAGAGGTTGGGTCCAGACTGGACAGGTCACCAGTCCATCACAGGCAGGAGGAGCAGAAGAATCTGAGGAAAATCAAAGATGAAATGACTGAACTTTAATGTTTCACTTTAGTTTTTCTATCTCAGGGTTCAGATTATAAACTTCTCTAAATGTTTCTGCTCTGATTTCAATGAGAACTTGTTCTAGTAAAACGTCTCTAACGGCTCTTTGTTCACATTCTAACTTTCTTCTCTGTTCCAACCAGCTGGAGCTGATTCTTTCATCATAGCCATAGACGTTGGTCATGGATACAGCGGCTACGCCTTCAATGTCAAACCCAGACAGGAAGGAGGTGAGGCCCAGTTAAAGAGATGGGATGAAGGACTTGGACTGGACCGCCCAAAGACTCCAACCTGCATCCTGTTGGATGAAGATGGAAAATTCCTGAAGTTTGGTTCTGAAGCTAAAACAGCGTACAGCAAAATGAGAGGAGAAGAAACTGAGAAACATTATTTCTATGATGACATCAAGTGGTATCTCTGGAACCCAGTGAGTAAAAGTAAAGATCTGCAGATAGATCTTCATCATCATCTTCTTCAGTTCAGTTTAAATAATGAAATAAAGGTCAGTTGGTCGTTAACTTGATCTGGTTCCAGGTTCTGATCCGATCAGAGTTTTTAACCCTAAAGATAAAGAAGCAGGAAAATAATTGATCTTAAATCAAAGAAGAAAAGCAGATTTTTCTGCTGCTGAAAAGGAATAAAGTCAAAGTTTTTCAGTCAAAGGATTGTTTAGTTTTCTCAGTGAGTTCATCTCTCTTCTAAACACAGACAATCAGATCTGATCTGGATCCACATGAGAACATGTGGTTCTGATGTGAAATCATCCAGTCGACACGTTTTAGATGCAGTTTGCTCTGAATTCACATCCTGTCAATCATTCTGGGTTTTTCTGTCATTAGAACAGAATCTTTAATGAGTTTATTACATTGGAAATAATTCAGATCAACAATCCTGTGAAATGAACAGTTCTGATCCGTTTTCAGTTCTTCTCCAAACATCCAGTCTCTACAGCAGCTCCTTAAACACCTCATCTATATTAAAAAGATCAAACATCTGGAGAACAGCTGGATCAATCATTTTAATCTCTAAATATCCAATCAATCAATGATGAGGAAAAGCTCTATCTGATCTATTTCTGGATCTGCTGACAGACAGGTGGCGCTCTGTGACTAAATGAGGATTTTAAACAGGTTGGATTCATCTGAGCTTCTGGACCAGGAGTCATCCTGTTGAACTGCTGAAGTTTTTACACTTTGGTTCACATGATTGAAATGTTCCCATTGGTCCACAGAAACATAGAACTAGGAACTAGAAGTTGTTGATGTTTGATCTCTGCTGATTGAAGATGTTTCTGAAGATGAGAACTAAAATCATCTGGATAACTCCTGGAGGATTTCTCTGTCCTTCAGTTTGTCTCATTTCAAAGTGGTTTAGAGAGCAGCTCTAAGAGCAAAGCTCAGGATCAGGAAGAACTTGGAGGAGGAAGATCATTTCCTCCTCATCTGGTTGTCATGGTGACGCTTCCTGTGCAGCTATTATGGTCTGGCTGCTGATAAACTCTCCAGATCAGGTCAGAAATGATCCATCCTCCATGTTTCCTTCTCCTCTCTGCATCTAACTGACATCATCCTTTGGTCCATGTTGGGATCTAAGGAGCATCAAAGGTTCTCCAGAACCAACCAGCAGAACTCAGTGATTTATTGGATCCTGATGTTCTGCTCAGAGCCCTGAGGTCAACATCTCAGCTGCTGCTGGAAGTCCAGCCTCTAAAGGAGAAACCAGAGGTGGTCCAGATGTTCTGCTCACTGCTTCTACATCTGGATCCATTGGTTTTCCATGTGTCCTGTCTTGGTGTTCCAGGCATGAAGAAGCTGCTGCTACATTTGCTCTACAGAAAGGATTCCTCTAGATGGAGTCTGAGTCGTTTCATTGGTTCATTAAATCAGGACAGATCCCATTAATGGACCAGGAAGAGCTGATTAGATCACCTTCAACCTGCTGGATCATCTAAATGATGGGATGTTCTGCCTCTTCCTATCAGAGGAGCTCAGAGCAGAAACTTTCCAGTCTTTGCTGCAGACCCACTTCTTTGCTCTGAGTTTCTTTAACCTGTTTAGAAAACTTTGAAAAGCAGGAACTTCCTTTGCAGATGAGCTTCATGAATAAATTGATCATTGAAGCAGAAAACATCTCCAACAATTTACTGATGGATTTAAAACCAAAGGAAATAAACCCAGAATCCAGCAGGGTTTAGTTTTCAAACCAGTAAAACCAGTTTGTTCATCTTTAAATCCATCATTCAGAAAAAAGATCAGTTTCTGTTTGGACTGACTTTAAGTCTACAGTAGTTCAGCATCAGTAGATCTGATGAACCAACCTGTTTGGATCCAATCAACTAAATCAAACCTTTTCACAGAGATACTGGTCAGACAGACTCCCAGCAGCCAACAAGAAGGAGAAAATGACGCTTCTGGAGGTTGTTAGAGAGGTTCTGAGGTTCCTGAAGGACGATGCTCTGAAAACCATCAAAGTTCCTCCAGAAGGTGGAGAGTTCAGAGCCTCTGACTTCACCTGGGTGCTGACTGTTCCTGCTGACTGGCCTGATGGGTCTAAAGAGCTCCTGATGGAAGCTGCAGTTCAGGTAACATCATGTTTCTAAAGAGGACAGCAGCTCTGAGATGTTCAGAAGAATCAGACTTTATTTCTCTTCCAGGCTGGTCTTGTAACAGAAGAAACTAGATTCAGACTGATGTTGGTTCTGGAACCAGAAGCAGCTCTGGCCTGGTGTCTGAAGCCTCCATCTGATGGTTCCATCCAACAGAACCACAGCAGAGACTCAGCGGATCGACCTCCAGGACCAACAGATGCTGCTACCAGCTGTACTGGTACTGTGTGGATCCATAAAGTCAGAGCAACATTCAGCATCTAGCAGGTTCTGCTCTGGATTATAGGACCAGTTCAACATGTCAATGGATCCTTTAGCTGATCCGTTTGGACCGGTCCTACTGATCCAGAGAACTAGTGTGGAAATGTTGAAGTATTTGTTCCATCTTTGTTCTGAAATGTTTCCCACCATAAAGCAACAGTCAAAGATAACCTGAGTAAAAGCAAAGAATCGTTTCATTGATGAATAGAATCAGATAAATAAAGCATCAGAACCGACCCGACCCAATGAGGAAAACCAATCAGAACCTCAGAACTGGTTGTTCCAACCTGGAAAAGCTTTTTCTGGGAATAAACCTTTAAATCACTGAGGAGGAGGTTCGGCCCACTCTGGTTTCTAGAAGATTTCTATTTTCTTTTTCCTTCTTTATTTTTCTTCAACTGTTTCATCTTCCTGCTTCTGTTGCTCTTTATGAATTTAATCCATCAGAAGGATTTATCTGATTGAGTCGCTGATTTTTAAGGAGAAAAAGCTTCAAATCTTAAAGTCAGATTTCAGCCATTAGTCTTTTTTCCAGACAGTCTGGATTTCCATCTTTCCAGGTTGATTTTCTAGCAGAAGCAGCAGCAGAAAGCAGCTCCATCCTTCCCCTCCTCCAGCTGCTGTAGCTTCTATGTGCAGCTCTATAGAGCGTCACACCGTGACCATGTCCACCTCTCCTGGGAGCGTCAGCCTCTCAGAGCGCTGAGGATTCACAGGCAGGAGCTGCTTGGATGAAAACCTCACCCTGAACTCTCCTGCTTCTGCTTTTCAGCAACATTTCAACCTTTCAGCTTGTTTGCTTTCAATCATTTAGGATGAAAATCCTGAAAATGTTCCTGACTTCAGATGTGTCTCAGAACTCAGCTCAGTTTAACCCTGACTGTGAAATGACCTTTGGCCTCAATCCCAGTGGATCTGTAACCATGGTGATCCAACATGTCAGAGTCTCCATCTGAGGCGTTGAACAGCCAGATGAAATCAATCTATCCTGAAGGTGGAGGATCAATAAAGTCTCCAGATAACAACATTTAGCTTCATCTAGTCGATGTTCAGCTGCTTTATCAGCGACTCTAATCACTGAGGCAGCCACCAGAGTTCAGAGGAACCAAGCCTGATTGCTCTTTAGTTCAACCATGACCTGGAAACCAGCTTTCATTTGGACACGCCCACTTTGGTCACTTCCTGACCAGACGTGACATCACTTCCTGTGAATCCAGACGCCTTCATCACGGGTTCTACTCAGATATCAGTCAGAGACGCGTCACTCGGACAGAAAAGACTCTCTGTCCATTTTTCTAGCTTTGGTGGCCTTCTGAGATGGTCTGAGGGAGCTGCTGTGACCCAGGGTCACCACTGATCTGGAAACTTCTTCTCCACACATTTCCAGCATCACATCCTGTGGAGGCAGAGACGCTGATAAGGGAACCGACCCAATGGGCCTAAAAACCTCCAACAGCCTGAATCTACCTGCAGAAACATTGAAGCTGTTTCATAGTTGAGCTCAGTGAGGTTTCTGTGTTTCTACAGATCCACCAGGAGGTCAGGTAGCAGTTCACTTTGGACCAGAACCAGAAGAAACCACAGTCCTGCTGGAGACCCGACCCAGAGGAGGAGGACGGTACCTTGTTGTGGACTGTGGAGGTAACTGTTCATCACGGTTCTTCAATGTTTATTGAGAGACGAGTTTGAAAAATCTTTGTGTTCAAACATCAAGAGAACCAAGAAATGTTTGTTGATGGAAACTTTGAGATGAATGTTTGCTGAATGTGAGTTTAATGAACAATAAGCTGTTTTCTCACATTTATTCTTTATTCTCTTTCATTCTCTTCCTGTTTGTTCAAAGATTATTCTCACTTCGCTGTTTATGAAGTTCTGGAAGGAGGAGCTCTGAAGAAGCTGCATCATGATGGTGGATATCTGGGAGGACGAGATGTGGACGATAAATTCAAAAAGTTCCTCAGTAAAATATTCTCTTATAAATTGTGGGAAGAACATGAAGCAAACTTCCCCAATGAGGTTCAGGAAATGATGGATGATTTTCTCCGTGTCAAACATGTGGATGAAGATGTTCAGATCTGCTGCCCAGAGAACCTGAGAAAACAGGCTGAGAAAGAGAAAAACATTGAAAGGTTCTTTGATTCAGTGGGAGGAGCTTCCTGGGATGATGGACGCATCAGGATCTCCAGAGACACTCTGAGGTCTTTCTATGATCGGAGTCTGCAGACCATCACCTGGAAGATCTGGGAAATATCAGCCAAATATTCCAACATTGGTTGTATTGTGTTAGTGGGGGGCTTAGCTGAGAGCCAGATTCTACGTCAGAACATCACTGATCAGTTTGGATCTAAGTATAAAGTTCTGTGTCCTCTTAGACCCCGGGAAGCCGTCCTGAAAGGAGCTGTAGAGCTGGGAAGAAACCCAAAGTTGGTTCTGCCTCAGAGAAAAGGTCCAGCCTGCTTCAGATGTTTTTCATGACGTCTTTTTCTCTGACTGGGATCTTTCTGGGATCAGTCTGTCAGGAAGGAGCTGAGGGGGAAGTTTATTCCTGGAGACCAAATGACCATCAGCTACTAATAAAGTTCTGACCCAGTGGTTCTGATCCGGTGGTTCTGATCTGGTCCTGCTGAGGTCCAGACTTTTCCTCTGATGAACTTCTAGGTATCAGAATCACGTGTTGGACTTTGTTGGTTCTGTTGGGTCCATTTAGGTTCTGGTATTTAGAGTCGTCTTTAGGTTCTGAGGTTCTTATCGGTCGTTTCCTGTTTGATTTGGGTCAGTTGGACTCTTCCTGTTCTGGGTTCACTTTACTTCCTGTTTTCTCTGGTTCTGAGTTTCTCCTGTTGGTTCTGGTTCTGGTTTCCTGTTTCTGAGGTTCTGGTCTCTGTGTTTAGTCGTGGTTCTTCCATTTCTTCTGTTTGGTTCCTCTGGTTTCTATCTCAGATGGTTCCTCTGCTAATTGTTCTGATCTGGTTCTGGTTCCACTGATCAGTTCTCCTCAGTATTTATTCTCCTTTGGTTCTTCAGGTTCTGCTGGTTCTGCTCAGTCGGCTTCGTCTCCATCTTTGGGTTTGTTTGGTTCCATGTTCTTTAGTTCATGGTTTTACTTTTCTAAGTTTCTGTTTCAGTTGTTAAATCTCTTTATTTCTCCTCCATCTTCCTGCCTCCTTTCTGCATCTCTGGATTTATTTTTCTATCTTCTGTTTTAAAATGTTGGACCTTGTGTTTCTGCTTGTTTGGTTCTGATGGACCTTCTTCACTTCCTGGTTCTGGTCCTTGGATTGTGAGGTTTGATCCTGGAAGTAGAGGCCTGGCGGGACAGATTTCCAGCCCCGCTCCCTCCCGCAGTTCCCGCATGATTCCTCATTCCTCTACTGCTCAAGGCAATTGGTTTCATTAGTTTGAGGAATTAAACCCGCAGTGCTTCGCTGAGGACATTACTGGCTGATTCTTCACCGCATAGTGCGTGACGCGCGTTAGGTGGCACGAGCTGCAGTTGTGCACATTGCAGATGTATATATATGATAGACATAGACCGATCATTTATGACTTTATTTTACATTTTAAAACAGGTTTTTAGTTCGCGGGACTGCCGCTTATCACCGCAATGAGCTTCAATATTTGTCCCGCGCCGCACCGCTTTGCGTTGTGTCCCGCAGAGTGCAGGGCTCTACCTGGAAGCTCAGAGTCAACATGCAGCTGTGAAGCTTTTTAACTCCTCTGGTAGATAAAGCAGTGCTGCCATCAACCACTAGAGGGCGCCCTTCAACAAGAGAACAGTTCATCCTGAACAGAGACCTTCATCATCCTCTGAGGAGGAGGAGGAGGAGGAGGAGGAGGAGGAGGAGGAGTGAAGAACAGGAGCTGCTCAGAGGACTGAAGTTCTCCTCCTGCTGCAGGTTTATCAGGTTCCTCTGATGCTTCATCACAAACTAGTGATGGTGAGATGAAGCCGCATTGAACCATTTGACCAAATTGCTTCAACGATTTAAGTTCCTTTGAAATTGTTCATGATTGTTTTGTATAATAAAATGTTTTGTTCGTTTTTTTGTGTGCGTAAAATGTCTTAATCTTTTAAAGTAGACAGTTTTTCTGTAGTTTTAGTGAAAAAAGCTCAAGTAGACGATAAAATCAGGCAATGATGAGCAAAATGAAAAGCGTTAGTCATTTTATTCAAACATTATCTTTTTTCCAGGGTTTCTGGTTTTCATCTGGTTGGAAGTTATGTGTCCAACCAATGTTTTGGTTAAACCAACCAATCTAATTTGTTTTTAACCAATCTATATGGGTTAAAGGGCAAACCAAAACAATCACTTTGGCCAAAATCCTGGTTAGGAAGTACAGGAACTTTGAAAAGCTGAAACCAGGTCTTCAACCAACAGCTAGTGGACTGAAGTCTTAAAGCTGACCTCACATGCAATAGTAAATATTTCTTAGAAAGCAATAGTACTAAATACTAATAATACAACTGTAACCAGAGAATTGCTCAGTTTCAAACTAGTTTTAACCAACTAGATTGGTTGTTTTTCCAACCAATCTATTCTTAGAATCTATCCAAACTCTATCCAACTGACCGCAGCTCTCCTCCAAACTCCATCATCTTGACTTGATACTATTTAAATGCCTGTTGAAGTTCCAGGCGAGCGTAACCACTTCCTGAAGCGGTCACATGGTATGGGGGGGTAGTGAGGCTTCGGACGTCCTAAATGAAGCAAGCCTCCATAGGCGCTTTGCAGAAACACGCCTCCAAGCCTCGGCTCATCACATCACTACTGGATCTTTAACTACTTTTCATTCCAAGCTCTGAGGGGGGCGGAGCCAGAGCTGCTTCATCTTCAGCATCTTCATGTGTGAAAACAAGCTGCAGATGATCTCAGGTCTGATGGACTTTCTGCTGCATGTTCTCCTGATGTTTGATGATGAAACTAAATGTTTGTTTCAGTTTTCCTGTTTTCTTCTGGCAGCAGCAGAGAAATTCAGATGAAGCATCATCAGTCAGATGAAACTCCTGCAGAGTTCAGAGCTGAGATCAGCTTCAGTCTCACATGATGGAGAATTATCAGTGAACTTCTTGATTTCTGCTGCAGAACCTCAGTGAAGCAGCTGTTCAACCTTTAAAGGTTCATTCCTGACTTCCTGCAGCTTCTAGAAAACATCAGAGGTTTTTCCCAGACTGAGCTCAGATCATCCAGGAGCTATTTTTACCTGAACGTCATCAGAGCCGAGCTGATGATCCAGAACCGGATCAAAGTGGAGTGAGATCAGCTTCCTGAAGCTGTTTAAAGTCAGACCTCGTGTTTCAACCAGCAGCTTCATCATCTAAAGGTTTCCACCTGATCTCTGACTCTGAAGCTGCTCTCTGTGACGCAAACGTTTGGTTTCTGAGTGAATCTCTCAGGCTGGATGTTGGAACGAGGAGCTGTGAAGGATATTTGTGAAACGGTTGACTGACAGGAAGGAATCTGCTCTGATTAAAACCTGCTGCATGATGGGAAGTTTTCAGGACAGAAAATCTCCACATGAACCTGAGCTTGATCTTTGAATCTTGTTGCTCTTCTTTGAGGATCAGAGCTCCAGTTCTGTCTGAACCATCAGAGTTTATCTCTAAAGTCTGTTGAACTTGTCAGATCCTTGGTTGGTCTCTGATCGGCTCCTTGGTGGAGATGGAAATGAGGCAAAAACCAAATAAAACTCAAACTCTGGTTTTAATGTTGATCTTTTCACCAGAACAGTTGAAATGAAGAAACTCAGGATCTCCTCCTGCTGAAGCCATGAAGAAAAAACATCTTTGTCTGTTTTCTGTTCTTCATTCAGAGTAACTTGTTGCTCCTGAACCTCCTCTGACCCCCTTCACTCCAGCTTCTTTTCAGGGTCTTGCAGGGATGCAGTTGACTCCACATTTTATTCTCTGTTTAGATCATGCAGCCATTTTCTGCAGCAAGGTTGTGGTTTATGATCAGCATGGCAGCAATGGTTGCTGATCTATTCTATGTTGCTGTGATGCAGCAGTGGGGTTTGGTTAGCAAGAATTAAACCTTAGCAGGTTAGCTAATGCAGCTAGCGGTGCTTCAATCACCTTATTATTATTTTTTATTTATTTATTTATTTTTTTTTTATTCCTTTATTTAACCAGGAAAAGTCCCATTGAGATTAAGAATCTCTTTTTCAAGGGAGTCCTGGCCAAGACAGCGGCAAAAGAATACATTACAAATTATATTACTGTTTAGAATTACATCTATCTATAATTAGAAATTCATAAAACAGTTACAAACCATAGATCTCATTTCCAAACCTTTGAGCAATTGTTTAAAATGTCCGATTGGAATCAAATCCTTCAACTTCCAGTCTTTCTGAGGATTGTTCCATGCTGTGGGAGCAGAGCATTGAAAAGCTGTCTTTCCAGCTTCAGTGCGGACACTAGGTACAGACAGAAGCAAAGACTCTTGAGAACGTAGAGAATACAGTCCAGCCACTCTTGGTTGAATGTACTCACAGAGGTATGAGGGGAGAAGACGCAGAATACCCTTATAAATGATCATATACCAGTGAGTGAGTCTACGAGTCTCTAATGCTGGCCAGCCCGCACGTATGTAAAGTTCACAGTGGTGTGTGCGAGGCTTACAATTTGTGATAAAGCGTACGGAGGCATGGTAAACTGAGTCTAACATTTTAGAACTTGATCTGGGCATTGATATAGATTGGGTCACCATAGTCCAGAATGGGTAAAAACGTTCCAGCTACCAGTCTCTTCTTCGAATTAAAAGAGAAACAAAGCCTATTCCTAAAGAAGAAGCCAATTTTCAGTCTGAGTTTCTTGATCAATTGTTCGACATGAGGTTTAAAATTTAGACTATCAATTAAAATTTCTAAATATTTAAAAGATTGAACCCTTTCTATCTCTGACCCATCCAAGGTGATAAGAGGATCGCTATTTTGCTATTTTGTCTTTGTTTTTGAAAATAACATCATTTTAGTTTTATTTGAATTTAAAGAAAGATCTAGTTTTAAAAGCCTGTGCTGAACCAAATTAAAAGCAATTTGTAAAGTAAAGAGACACGCACTAGGGTTTTTTCCAAAACTGTAAAAAAACATGTCATCAGCATAAAAATGGTAGTTAGTGTCTATAAGATCCTGGCCAACATTGTTCACATAGATAGTAAATAGTAGAGGCCCAAAAATGGAGCCTTGGGGCACTCCTTTAGTTAGTGACAATGTACCAGAACAAATTTTATGTGATTTGACACATTGGGATCGATCAGTCAGATAATTATTGAACCATCCAACAGCTTGTTTAGAGAGTCCAATATTGGTCAATCTCTCTTCAAGTAAATTGTGGTTGACAGTGTCAAACGCTTTTGATAATCAATGAAGAGTGCAGCACAATGCTGTTTATTTTCAAGAGATGCCAAGATATCGTTCAGAGTACAGATATTCTTTCAACTGTTCATTGATTAAAGATTCTAAAACCTTTGATAGGATGCAGAGCTTTGATATAGGCCGATAGCTATTTAAGATTGCTGAATCGCCACCTTTGAATAGTAGTGACAAAAGCAGACTTCCAAATTTTGGGAATTTGCATAGTGCTTAGACTTAAGTTAAAAATGTAAGTCAAGGGTTGAGCTATGTAATCTGCTGATATTTTTAAAAAGTAGGAATCAATTAGGTCAGGTCCTTGAGATTTTCGAGCATCTAATGATTTCAATGCATTATAGACTTGACACAACGTAAAAGGCTGAAAACTGAATTTTGACACATCAGAAACTGGTGCAGGTGTTGTTATAGGCGTGGTTGACATGTTAGAGGGTTTGGAGGATATAAAGTGTTGATTAAAACAATTTAACATTTCGACTTTATCATAGATATTTGTTGAGTTATGAACATTTAAATTTGGCAAAGTCTGTGAGTTATTTTCAACAGTCAAAGTTTTAATTGTTTTCCAAAACTTTTTAGGGTCATTGAGACTTTCAGTTGTGGTTGATAAGTAGAATTCGGACTTTGATTTTTTTGTTTGAGAGGTACTTTTATTTCTCAATTTTCTGAAAATATCCCAGTCGCGTTTAAGATGGGTTTTCCTTGCCTTTGTCCATGCCAAGTTTCTCTCGTGTAAAGCATTAGCCAATTCTGGTGTGAACCAATGGTTATCTCTTCCTTTAATTCTGATTTTTATTAACAACAGCCATAAAACACTCATAGAAAAATGACCAAGCTGTTTCAACATCAGGAATTAGGTCAATTCTCTCCCATTGGCACTTACAAAGGTCATGGTAGAAGGCTTGTTCATTGAAATGTTTTAAATCTCTTTTTATTA